TTCTGGGAGTTGAAGTCCACTCATCTTAAAGTGGCCAAGTTTGGACAACACTGCTTTAATTGAACCTTGCAATTAACCTTTTGGTTGTTTCGACTAGCGTGAAGAGTCCTATAACACTGCAATAAGAAATCTGTAGTGTTCATGGATCCTTGTTCATAGGTTTTCATCCATGGCAAGCCTGTGGGTTTCCAGTTTGAACGAATATACCTTGCCACACCAAAGTTGCTTTGCTTCGTATTTGAGTTCTCCTAAGACCCTTGCAGAGGCTACATTGAAAAGTAATAAAAAAGATTTTGGAGCAATGAAACTTTGGGTAGGAGGTGGGGTGTGTGTCCTCATTGGATGTCTGCATTGCACAGCCTCTTCCTAAGGGAATGAAAAGCAAGTTTGCCAATGAAGTTGCTTGGATGAATAGGAATCTATACTACGAGGGACAGAAATTTCATACGGAAGAAATTTTTAAAATGAAAAAAATGCTTTCGTTCCTCTTAGAGGAAAAACCACGCGATGCAGGCTTGGGGGGAAAACGTGAACAAGAGGCAACCTAGGGGAAGAAATCAATGCCCAGCAAAGAAATTCTTCATTTTTCCCCCCCTACCAGTTCTTGGATGAAAGAGAAGTGGCTTTAGACATTCAAGTGAGAAAAGTTTGGGGAGAAATTCTGGTGGAGGGAAATAGGGCATTCTTGCAGGTAACTCTAAATTGGCCCAGGAACATCAGTGTGGTTCCTGACTTTCCTCTCTCACCCATGATCAGGCTTCCCACAATTTCAAAAATGCTTAGGAGAGAATAGGGGTGCCCCCTTCACCACCAAGGGGAAGACTTGCCTTACAGAACCTGAAGAAGTTTGCCCATGCTGGCTGGGGAATTCTGGGAGTTGAAGTCCACACATCTTAAAGTTCCCAAGGTTAAGAAACACTGCCCTACAGGACTGTAGCCAAAACAAGCTGCTGAGAAAGGAGGAGGAGAACATGCTTGGAGACGCTGGCAAACTATGGTTTAATTGAAATGCAAGAAGAGGGGGCCCTGATTTGAAAAGCCCAATGAAGATTGGAAGTGGCTTGTTTAATCCTGAACTAGCCCATTTTCTATGTTAGCACAATACCCTGAACCAGAACTCCAAACTAATCACCAGGCATCGTCCACTCCATAAAAATCTAATCAAGGTTAACCCTAACCAAGCCTAGCATGTTGCACAAATCCAGTCACCAGGTTTTTAAATGACTTGGTAGAGCTTGTTGGGTCAACATGCCTTCAGCAAGAAACAGAAGTTTGATGTGATGGGAGAGAGAATGGCGTATCCTAAAGACAAGCACCACTAGCGGGTACAAATCCTCAACTGGACCACACTGCTCACATTCTTACAAGTCACACTTCTTCTCAATAAAACCACCAAGTTTCCTGATATGGAAAGACTAACCAACTTGTTACTCGAAAAGCGAATTGTAAATAGGAGGATGTAAAAAAGGGGAAGCTGTCGTGCACCGGGTCTTTCCATTTTTGTTGTGGCCCTTAGAGAGACACAGATTAGGACTCCAAGTGACCCAAGGAGTCAAGTCTAGACCAGGCCCAGGGATCCCTCCAAAGACTTTGACCAGCAGTCCACCTGATGCCCAAGGAAGCAAGAAGGCTGGGGTAGTTGGAGCTGATCTTCCAGCATCGCCATCCCAGTGATGGAGGTGACCAAGACCTTGGCCAGCCATGCGCTTCAATGCATCAGCAATCCAACCCCACCCCTCCCCCCACACGTCCAGCCACCCCCGCTGAGATGAATGGGACTTGCCTTAAGCTGGAAGATGAAACGAAGCCCGGCTTCAAGGCCACCGCGGGCCCACCTTTGGGGACGAAGCCTGCAGGGTCTGGGAAAGGACCGTTCCCCCGAATCCCCGCATCGCCCGGAACCGGCGAAGATGCTGCGGCGGGGCCGGCTTTGGCTTGGCCCCCGCGCCTTGCCGACTCTGGTCGGGGGAGGAGACCGGGAAGGGACCTCCAGATGTGCTTTCGATCCACGGCCGTGAGAAGAGGCTGCTTCTGCTACTGGCAGCCGGGGCGATCCCCTGCGAGGAGGAGGAGGAGG